TCTTCTTCTAGTTGAGCTCTGATCATTCAGTCATTGAAGCCAGATATAGTGGGTATTATCTGAAAGTATGGATGTGTTTATTCATATGCCCTCTCTTCTTATCAGCTGGATGCTTCATTCTCCACTCTAGTCCTCTGTGGCTATGTCACTGACTCTGGGCCCAAGAGTCCCCAGGTCTTACCACACGGCTGGCCAACCAGGTCTCCACCCGGGTTCACAGGGGTCTATTGAACGTTGTAGGGCTTAGTTTGCAGCTTCACTGCTGTTCTTCCCTTACTTCCCCTTATCAGTGATGAGTGTGGTCATCAATCAGAGCGCATGTCTGCTCGTGTATTCCCACCAATGATTTATATTTAAATCCACAATTAAGATCCATGTAAAGAGTAGTCAAGTAATCACAGGACACATTGGACTCAGTAAATCTGTTTCAAAAGTCCTCTTCAAAGCATTAAAAAACAAAGATATCTCTAAGAGAGCTAAGGTGCATCTGACTCAAGTCATGATATTTACAATCATCTCAAAGGATGTGAAAGCTGAACAATGAATAAAGAACACTAAAGAAGAATACAGACTATAGCTAAAGTGAATAGAGAAATACTGTTAACTTATGGTACACAGAAGGGATTGTAATCATTGTAATGAAACAAGGTGTATGCTTTGTTGAACATAAAACTGATGATCTGCCCTGGAAACTTTCACTCAATCCACAATAAAAACCCTAAATAAAAAAAAGAATACAGAATATACCATGGACTGCCAGAAGAATGAATAATCTGTGTTACAAGAAGTACAACCAAAATGCTCTTTAAAAGCAAGGATGGTAACACTTGGTTTCATGTGTTTTGGTCATGTTATCAGGAGGGACCAGTTCCTGGAGACATCATGGTCTTCGTAAAGGGTCAACATACAAGAGGAAGAACTGAGAGAACAAACAAGATGTTGGATCAGGTGGACGTGTAGCAAAGAGCTCCGCCAACAAAAACACAGAATACCCGACCAAGCAGGCTCAGGGACGGTCCCAGAATTCTGAACCACATATAAAGGAATACTTAGAAGGTTAGAAGGCTCACAGCTGGGGGAATTTGTGGCAGAAGCAAGAAATATATTGCTTTCTAGTCCTAGTCCGGGACACTCAGCTGCTCCAGGAGCCACCATCTTGGGTAAGACCATGTGGCAGAAGGATCAGAGCAGCCACGGACGCCTGGCAGAACTGCAGAGATAAAGGTGTGGACATTCTTTTCTTTTGGTATCTGTTCATTGGTCCCTTGCTGTCTCCACACCTGGTGACTATAGGGGTGCCGGAGCTAGTGGGCACCCCAGCCCCACCCTCGGAGGGATCTACTACGCATGCGCACAGATCTCCTCAAAATTTAAAGAGACAGTTTCCAATTAAAACCAA